GAAGGGCTCCTGCAGCTGCCTGGGCATGGAGGGGGCGGCCTAGCTCCTGAGCTCCCCACACCGATGAGGAGGTGCCGCTGGTGTGAATTTTGGCTGAGGGTGTAATTCACTGCAAAGGGGCCTCATCCAGGTCCCAGGGCTTCTCTGCTCCAGACAGAGCAGCCCTGCTCCTGCCCAGCCCCTGCGGGAGGCTCAGGGGCTGGGGACCTGGGCAGAGCTGGGGGATGGGTGGGCCTGGCCTCTGCCCACTGACCCTATTCTCCAGCCCTGCTGGTGCCTCTATAAAACGGGGAGACGGGCAGGGGTCCCTCTGATGAGGAGGACAGGGAAAAGCAAGTGTGCACCTGGAGGAGGAACTGCTGACCGACCACCCCTGCCCCACAGTCACTGAGAGCCCAGCGTGTGCAGGCAGCTTGCTCGCGGCCCCTGGGCACCGGTGCTTCTGTCGCCGTGACCCCCGGAGGCACGGCTGGCAGAGAATGCCACAGCAGCATCCATCCTCCTCTGCTTTTCCAACCACACACCGCAGCTGTTGTCGGAGGTGGACACACGCCCAGCTTAGAAACTGCCACTCCCCGCCCTCCTCGCAGCCAGGCGCCTCCGTTCCTGCCAGCGCCGCGCGGAAGGAGTCCTCCGGAGGTGTCTACGGCGGCGCCGCCGTCCGGAGGGGGCACCACCACTTCCCTTTCCCCACTTCCCCTTCCTCTCGCCTGGAGCAAAGCCACGGTGGCTGGAGCCAAAGCAACGACCTTGCGACAGAGGGAAAGGGCAGGAAACCCCAAAGACCTTGACTCTGACATCCTGAGGCTGCTAAGTGCTGCCGGCCACTGCCAGCCGGATGCTCAAAGAGCAGCTGCTAGCCTCCAAGTGAAGTCACTGGCGCTCGGGTTTCTCTTACGTGTAAGTGCCGTGTTCGGCGGGCTTCCTGACACATCACAGCTGGTGGCGGCTTCGGGCTGCTCCCTGAGAGCCAGGGAAGGCCGGCTGCAGCTGAGGCTGCTCCACCCTGGGCCCGAGGACCAAGCACATTTCCACTGTGTGTTCTGTCCTGTAGGGCCCTTGGCGGGCCCCAGGCAACGTTCCATGGTCTCCTCGGGTTTTGAGCAAAACCAGGGTCTCTTCTCTCTGGACATAGAACGAGTGGCTTCTTACTGGGCTCCTTGGAAGGGAGGCAGGGAAGCCCACCAGGAGCGCGTAGCCACTCTCCCTCGGTGCTAAGGCACCATCGTCATGCACATGCGCTCTGTATGGCTTAGGGTAGAGGCATTGAGAAGGCTCAGGTGTGTATGTAAGAGCTCAAGCCCCCAACCCCCTATAAACAGCTGCATTGCCATCTTTCCCTCAACCCACACCCCAGGCCCCCTGGGGAGTCCCTAAGATCATTTGAAGAGATGTGTTCATATGTCATTTACAGACCGAGCTGCAGGAAATGCTGGCACCAACTCTAAGCTGGCATGACAGCCCACTCGGGGCGGGCCGTGGAGAAGGGACATTGCCCTGGCGGGCAGAATGTTGAACATGTCTGCTGGCCCATGTGGCCTGGCAGGAGAGGTGGCCTGGGGTACAGATTACAATGGGCAGTTGCCAGCCACTTGTTCAAGGGCCAGGGGAGGGGAGGAAACTAGGCTGGAGGAGTGGCAGCCAGTCTCTTGCGAAGCTCTCTGAAGGGCCTGAGGCGCCCAGGTCAGGTGGGCAGGATGGCCTGTCTGCTGGTCACCCGCCTGTCCTCCTGGGTGCAGCGGATGGAAGCTCCTCAGGCCCCTCCTTGGACTAGGCGGGGCGGGGCAGGCTGACCACAACTGCTGTCGAGTGCCCAGCCAGCCAGCAGGTGGCAGGCCAGCTACACTGCATCCCTTCCCTCCAGCTGGGTCCCTCACTAGACAGCCTGCCCACAGGCCTTCCTCCCTGCCGCCAGCTTCTGCCAACACCACCACCCATCACAGTGTCCGACACTCCACTGTTCTCATCAGCGACTCATTTTACAACGAGGAAGTGTAGCCAAAGGCCGGTGCCTACAAGACCCCTGGCCTCACCCTGCCCCGGTGCCCAGAGCCTCACAGAGCAGCGGGGGCGCCCTGTCAGCTGGCTCAGACCAGCGCAAGGCTCGGGGGCTGTCCTGGGGAGGCTGGCTGTCCAGAGATGGGCCAGGGCCGAAGGAAGTGGTGGTGGTGTCCCTCACACCATCCGGCCAACCACCCACAGTCCTTCCGTTGACTCCGGACCAGAGGTTTCAGATCCCAAAGAAGCTTCTTAGAGGGGCTGCCTCCGGGCCACTGAGATGGCCCAGTGCTAGGGAGCCTGAGGGGGGCACTGTGCCTGCCCTGTGTCCCCTTTCCTGGGCACAGCCGTTCTAGAGGGCCCCTCGCAGCCCGGAGTGACGCAGGCGCCAAGGCAGCTGGTCAGCCGGGCCCGCAGGACTCTGGCCCGAGTCCCTCCCGCTCTGGGCCGAGGTGGCCCAGCTCAGTGACACAGTGCGGCTTCCCGGGCCTGGGCCTGGGCCGGGCTTCTGCTCTGGCTGCCCCAGAAACCCGCCTCTGACTGGCTCCTGTGAATGGAAAAACCCTGACAATGGGCACAGTGTCTCGCTGCCCGCCCCTCTCCACTGGTGCCATGGAGCTGCACTGAATGGCAACCATTGTTCCCGTGCCCAGCGCCCAGGAAGCTCCTGGAGGCGCGGGGCGCCCGCTGCCCAGTGCGGCATTCCAGGTGCCAACACTGCCCTCCCTGTGGCAGCGGTGCCGTCCTGAGGGACACACAGGGCGTGTGGTACGGGGGAGGTAGGCATGGTCCCCGCTGCCCCTGCGGGAGCATGTGCTGCCCACACAAACCCCAGAAACTCCCTCTTCCCTCAGCTCCCAGGGTGGGCAGGGAGAGGCCCCAGGTCAGATCCTACGCTGCCCTCACTCCACGCAACCTGCTGAGTCATGTGACCTCCCTGAGCACCAATCAAGTTTTTAGTCAACAGTGATCGGAGCTGCCTGGCGAGCTGCCTGGTAAACACATACACCCAGAGCTGTTGAAGGCTCTTGGGCCTGCTCTTCTCCCCTCAGCAGACACGTCCGGATCGCTGGGTGGGAGCTGAATGTGAAAGGCCCTGCCCTCTCAGAGCCACCCGGAGCTGAAGGTGGGACATGTGGGTGTGGTCCCCTCGGCCGCCTCACTGTGGCCTTAAACACAGCAAGCCTGCTCCCAGCCGCCCTTCCCCACGGCCACCCACGCTCCGTGTGCCCCGTGTGCTCACAGCCCCGGGGGAAAGGGTGGCGCTCCGCACCCAGCCCAGCCTGAATGTCGGAAACTGGAGACGGAGAAAGGCCTGGGGCGGGGCGGGCGCTGATGGAGAGAAGTAGGGAGGGAGCGACAGGGAGACACTGAGGCCAGGAGGAGGGGCTGCAAGATCTCGGGAGGAAGGGGAAGATCGTGTGCTGCCACCAGGGAAAGCCATAAAGGGGGAGGGGAGGAGATGGAGCCTCCGGCCAGGGAGGAGGAGCCGTGTCTGTTAGGAGTGCCACGCTCCCCTCCTCTGCTCTCCACAGGGACTGCCGGTGTTTATCCATCGTGTGGGAGCTTCCCAGGTGAGCTGTTCGCATAAACTTGTAATGACTTCATGTTTCAGCCACCTGCAAAAGCTATTCACCTGCCCCGAGAAGTGGAGAAGAGCACATAGATAGCACATGGACCGCACCTGTGTTCACGTGCATTAGAACCCCCATGGGAGGCCTCTCTGGGGAAGGCCAAGAACAAATATCAGGCCAGAATGACAGCAGCACCGGCAGGCAGGGGCTGGGGAAGCAGCGGTGGGGCTGGAGGGGGTGGGAGCCCCTGGAGAGGGTTCTCAGGTAAAGGACACAGGCCTGGCTGGAGCTGGCTACCAGCCTCTGTGCCAGATCCCCTCCTCAACCCTACCCTCCTCACTCCTACCCCCTCGTGCTGAGGGAATGGGGCCACGGCTGTGCCCATTCTCCAGCGAAGGGGACTGAGGCCCCCTGGAAATCAGAGAGTGTCTGAGACAACAAACAAGACAACTGTCAGAGCCACATCTGCACTTTTTCCTCAGAGTCAGAGCGGCAGTCTCATGCACACTGATTTGTGTGTGTGGCATGGTTACCTGTGTATGATATCTGTATGTGCATGATGAGCAGGTGTGCACACGTGTAGCAGATGCACAGGTGTTCATGATTGTATGCACATGTGTGTATGGTAGGTATGCACAGGTGTGAGTGCATGGTCTGTGCATGTGTGTGAGAGGATGGGGCTGCACAAGGTCACACAGCAAATACCAGATACTGCCACGGCCAGCACAGGGCAGCGGCTGCTATCCATGCCTCACACACACCAGAATGCAGGCCCAGCAAAGAACCAATGCCAGTCCTGTGTGCACTCAGGAGGGCCCCTCTTCCCAGACCCCACACACTGCTGTCCATCTTCACATGTGCCCTGTAGGTGGGCAGCAGGCCCCCCTTCTAAAATACATTTTTATTGATTTCAGAGAGGAAGGGAGAGGGAGGGAGAGAGAGAAACAAGAGAGAATCGTTGATCAGCTGCCTCCTGCACGCCCCTCAACTTCAGATTAAGCCCACAGCCCTGGCATGTGCCCTGACCAGGAATTGAACCGTGGCCTCCTGTTCATGGGTTAATGCTCAAGCACTGAGCCACACTGGCCAGGCAACAGAGGACTTAGAAAGGATGAGTTCCGGCCCCAGGTTACCCAGCCGGTGAAGAGGGTGCAGCAAGCCCAGCCTGTCAGCCTCTGAAACTGGGCTCCACCCCACCAGCTACCCCAGTGGCGCCTCAGCATGGTCCCAGCCCTCTGCCTCCACCTCCGGAGGCCCTGCCTGGAGCTCAGTGGCCTGCATGGATGAATGAAGGTGGGCTCAAATGATTGAAAACATCTCCGATGGGAGACAGAGGTGGTGTGGCCTGGGCTGGGCCCCCAGGGTGATCTCTGAGCCCACAGACAGGACAGAGCTCCAACCAGGTCCCCAGCCCCACCCCAGCCCTACCTGAGCCCTGCGGGGCAGCGCTGGATAGGATCCACTTGACCAGGCAGCACCGCATCACGGCCTGGCGGGTGAGCCTCGGCCTCTGCCACTTGGCACCCTGCTTCTTGCTCAGTGGCGTGCGTCCAGGGTCCCCCAGGAGGCTGCCGTCGGACACCTTCATCATCTCCTGCAGCAGGAACAGCAGAGGTCTGAACCCTTGCTCACGAAGGGGACCTCCAGATGGCTCCAGGCTCCCCCACTTTCCTGGGCAAGGCTGTCCATCCTTAACTCTACCTAGGGACCTGTCTTCCGGGGTTGCATACCAGGAGCCCCCAGTCCCGGCCAGAGAATTGCACTGGCCCATTCTCTCTTGTACCAGCCCTCCTGCCCAATGCCTCACAAGCCTACCTCTGTGCAGGAGCCTTGGTCTGCATGGCGAGGGCATGCTGCAGGAGACCGTGCCCACCGGGAGAGCAGCCCAGTGCCCAGGACAGAGCAGAGTGGAGAATGACCATCGAGGCCACACACACTCTCCTCCAGCCGCACCGGCCTGGCTGTGAACACACACTCTCCTGGTTGTGCTCCTCACTGACTGTGGAAAGCCTTCCTCTCAGGGTCAGGGAGCCCTACTCAGGCTTTAGGACCCCGCCACGAGGACTCCCCGGCTTCTGGGCTGAGGGACTGGGTCTGCCCTTGCGTCAGTGGAACTCCGGGTCAAGGGCAGGGCCTATGGGCTCCCCCCTCTGCACCCTGGTCTGGCACACGATGGGGCCCCTGGAAGGAGGGAGATGAGGTGTAGACTTGCTCATCAAACTCCCGCCCTGGCGTGGGTCTGGTTGTCAGAATTGGATAGTCTCTTATAGATCACAGCCTCTCCCCTGATGTTTGCCCAGAGAGGGCAGCGGATCTGCACGGGTCACACAGCAAAGCTGGGAGGACCCCCGTGAGGCTCAAACACATTTTGGGAGGAACTGGGCTTCCTGGTCAGTATCTGGTGAAGTGGCCACCAGGTCCATTTCCAAACCCCTAATCCTGACTATTGGGGCATTCCCCAGCCTGGTGCCAGCTGCCAGGTGCCCCTCTCATAGTCATCAGCCCCCCAAGCCACTTCCCACTACACACCCTTCTTGGTAACACCCCCACATTCCTCTCCTCCAAGGCTCACCCTGGCAAGGAGGCAGGGGAAGTGGTGCCCAGAGCTGCAGCAACCTTGCCATCCTGATGGCACATAAAGAGGGAGCAAGCAGAGACAGATTCCGGGATGCCAGGGATGCTGAGGGAGGCCCCTCCACACATGTCCACATGGACACATACTCACATATACACATGCACTCACATACATACATGTACACACATCCTCCAGGAGGGCATCTTCTCTATTATTTATTTTTATTTTTTACATCCTCACCTGAGAATATTTCTCCATTGATTTTTAGAGGGAGTGGAAGAGAGAGGGAAAGACAGAGAGAAATATTGGTGTGATGGAAACACATCGATTGGTTGCCTCCTGCGCTCGGGCTGGGGAGGAGCCTGCAACCAAGGTCCATGCCCTTGACCGGAATCCAACCCAGGACCCTGCGCTCCGCAGGCTGACACTCTATCCACTGGGCCAAACTGGCTGGGGCTGTCTTCTCCATTATTAATGATCTTATTCGGGAGAGAAATGGCCTTGATGAATAAAGTCTTTATTTTGGTCCCAGGGTGGGGTGAGAGGAGACGGGCAGCTGCTGCTTCATTGCCACATGAATTTCTCTGAGGGCTCTGGGCTGGTGGAGATTGTCAGAGGGAGAGACTGAGGTGGCCGCAGAGCCTTGGGCAGGATCCCCTCTCAGGACAGGGCTGGCACCCCTGGCCCTCGTACTCCTGCTGCTGCCCAGGCCTGAGCCGACAGGAGAGACCAGGGGGCCCTGGGTCGTTCCTCCTGGAAAGCCTGGAGGCTCCACGGCCGGCCGAGACACCTCTCCCTGCATTCTAGTCTGGTCTCAGTGTCCTCTCATTGTCATGACAACCCAGAGGTCAGCAACGCCGCCCCCATTTTAAAAACAAGGAAAGAAGTCCCACGGAGACTTACATTTTAGGGCCACACAGCTCGTGGTCTCCTGGTTCCACAGTCAGGTGGTCTTGGCCATGAACTGCTTGGCTCTCCTGAGGCCAGGCCCCCTGAGAGGCCTGGGAAATTGAGAAGGGCTTCCCCAGCCCCCTAGTCAGGGCAGAGTCCCCGCTCACAAGGCTCTGCTGTTCTCCAAGGCTAGAAGCCCCGGCTGTTCTCCCTGAGCAGGCTCCAGGGACGGGGATGGTAAGGGTCCTGGCCCAGGTCCTCTACATGACTGAGGGCTCAGACCCCTGTGAGCCACTCCTATGAAGCGGGGGGTTGGGGGGGGGGGATCCTTACAGTAGGAATGAGGGGCCCACAGTGGCTGAGCTGTGGCAGGGCCACACAGCCATCAGACCTCGGGGGAGGGCAGGGGAGTGACAGCTTCTCATCCTCATGAATATTTGACACTTGTCTGTCTGGGAGAGGGTCTGGCTGGGCTGTCAGGGACTGTTATAGCCACTCCAGCTCCCTCCCCTGGACTGGGAAGCTCTGAGGCAAAGGGAGGGAGCCCTGAGAGATGACACACCACCCTCTCATCCCACCGGGCCTCTGTGCTGGGAGGCAACAGTCTAGGACAGCTGTGTCAGTGAGGAGACCCCCACACAAATAAAATCCCCCCTAATCACTGCTTAGCACACCCAGGGGCATTTCAAATAAAACCCCAATGATCTGACCCAACCTGCAAAGGCCCACTCCAATCTAGCCCTGCCTGACCCTGGTCAGCCTCATCTCATCTACCTGCCACCACCCCAGCACAGCCTGCTGTCCTTCACCGGCACACTTCCCCTCCACCTGTGCATTCTCCACCCCCATCTGCACATTCCCCCCTCTACTTGCACATTCCCTCCTCCACCTTTGAGCCGAGCCAGCACAGCCAAGGGTTCAGTGAGCCTGAGGGAAGACCAGTGAAGGATGAAGAAGAGACAAAAAGAATAAGCTGGGTCTAGGTGGATCTTCTGTGCCTGGCTGAGGCCACAGAACAGATCCAGACTGCAAGCTGATGATTTATTTTATAGTCAGAGGTAAACAAGGTAATTTACAATGTTCTTGTAAGTTTCACTTGTTTAGCAGCACTTGTTGCACCTCCCACAGCCCATTAGCCCATCATCTAGGAAAGATCTAGGGAGCAGTCATAAGATCATAGCTTAATTATGCTTAGAGGGCTGTGCCCTCCAAGCTGGAACTTGTTTGCAACTTTGCCAGCAGATCAGTACCAGGTTTAACCTTATAACTGCTCCCTACACATTTGCACATTCCCCCCTCCACCTGCACACTTTCCCCCTCCACCTGCACACTTTCCCCCTCCACTTACACACTTTATCCTCTGGACTCTAAAGGCTGACCCCTTCTCTCTCTCAGGCCTCTTTCAGGCCAAGGTACTAAGAGTTCCCCTCACCTCCAGACTGCCCTCCTTCCTGCAAGCTCAGCCTCAGCACTTACAGTGCCTTACAGCATGTGTGGTGTTAGAATCTATCTTATGTATTAGTTTTCTGATGCACTTTCTGTCTGTTTCCCACTTCCCCTGCCCATGTCAGCTCTGAGGGCTGGCCCTGGCCTGTTGTGTGAATTTCTCTTCCCCATCAAGCGCCCAGCACTCAGGAGGCCCTCCCTTTCAAAACCCAACAGTAAAAGAACAGAGTATCCTGAGAAGATGGCAAAGCCACGCACAGTCCTTTCCCTGAGGAGGATGCCCAGGTGGCCAAGAAGCACATGAAAAGACAATCAACACCATCAGCCTCCTGGGGAGGCAAACGAAAGCTGTCATGAGATGTCACTCACACCTCTCAGAATGGCTAAGAAGTAGTGACAGCACCAAATGCAGAACCTGATCGGGAGGTAATGCATTAGTCATTCTAGAGAACAGTTGGCTTCTTAAAAAAGCAAATATTTACCATAACTGGTTTGGCTCAGTGGATAGAGCACCGGCCTGCGGACTGAAGGGTCCCGGGTTCCATTCCAGTCAAGGGCATGTACCTTGGTTGCGGGCACATCCCCAGTAGGGGACGTGCAGGAGGCAGCTAATCGATGTTTCTCTCTCATCTATATTTCTAACTCTCTATCCCTCTCCCTTTCTCTCTGTAAAAAAAAATTATTAAGATACATTTTTTTTAAAGCAAGTAATGCAACTGCCATTGTGCTCTGAGCATTTAATCCTCCAAACAAAAGCCTGCAGGCAATGTCCACGGCAGCTACACCTGCAATAGTCCCCAACTAGACAGGCCCAAGGCGTGCTTTTTGGGTAACACCATGGAATACTAGGCAGCGATCAAAAGGATTGGACTATTACCGGTGTTCTAGGTGGTTAGAGTGTTGGCCTGCACACTGAAGGGTCATGGGTTAGATTCCCAGCTAAGGGTACATGTACCTGGGTTACAGTTCACTCTCTGCCCCCCGTCAGGGATAGTCTCGGGGCTCAGGGGTGAGCGATGTAGGATATAACCAATTGATGTGCTTCTCTCAGATCTCTCTCTCTCTCTCTCTCTCTCTCTCTCTCTCTCTCTCTCTCTCTGTCTCTCTCTGTCTCTCTGTCTCTCTCTCTCTTTTTCTCTCTCTCTCTCCTTCATTCCTTTCCACTATCTCTGAAAATCAATGGGAAAAATATCCTCAGGTGAGGATTAACAACAACAACAACAAAAAAGGAATGAACTATTGTTGCAAATAATAAACTGGATGAATTCCTAGGAAATGATCCTGAATAAAAAAAGCCAACCCCAAAAGATCCCATACTGTACAAGTCTGTTTATATAGAATGACAACATTTTAACACTGCAACAGATTAGTGGACCAGGGGTTAATAATGGGGCAGAGATGGCAGGAGGGAGGTGCAGCAATACAAGAGCAGTTCATGAGATGCATGTGATGGACCTGCTCTGTGTTGTGACTGCGGTGGTGGAAACACAAAGCTACATAAGTACATAGAATCGCAAACACTAAGCACACACACATGCACACAACACACACACACACACGCACACGCACACACGCACGCACACACACACACATGAATGAGCGCATGTAAAACTAGGAAGGCCAAATGAGACTGGTGGACTGCACCACTGTCATGTCTGCTGTGACCTTTGCATTACAAGATG